AAAGTGTTTTGGCTATTTTTTTTTTAACTTTCCACACTGATTTTAGGACTGGCTTGTCTACATCTATTAAAAATGTCACTAAATTCTTCATTGGAACTGTGTTAAACCTGTAAATTAAGCTGGTGACAACTGCCATCTTGCCTAATGTCTTCCCATCTGTAAACATGGTATAGCTACTTAGCTCTTTGATGTCATCATGGTTTCCAGCACAGAAGAATAGCACTTGATAGACTTAGGGCTCTGGTTTATTTTCCTTTCCTTTAAAACCATTGCAAACACAGAATCTTGTTTAATCTCATTTTCCAGTTGCTCACTGACATTTCATACATACATAAAGCGCTGCATGTTAACCCTGCATTTTATGATCTTGCTAAACTCTTTAGTTTTTAGAACCTTTTTGTTGATTTCTTTGGATTGAGCAGAAAATCATGTCATCTGTGGATAGAGGCCATTTTATTTTCTTCCTTTCAAATCTGAATCTAAGGACCTTTTCTTTCTTGCCACATTGCATTAGAATTCTTGAGGTGAGGTCTTTCCCTTTCCCCCGCTGACCTGGACCCATGATCCTCCCAATCTTCACCTCCAGAGTAGCAGGGATTATAGATGCAAACCACATGCCCAGCTAGTTGTGGGGTTTTCCTTGCCTATGGTGGTACTGGGGTTTGAACTGAGGCCTCACTCTTGTTAGGCAGGTGCTCTGCCGCTTGAGCCATGCCCCCAACCCTAATTGTGGGTTTTGATGAGCTTTTTGCATTTCTAATTTTCTGATTTTTACAAAAACGTTTATGTTTTTCCTGCATAAATTGATCTAACCAAGCATTCTTCTCTTTCTTATTCAGTTAGAATATGTGTAAATACATCTTCAAGTTAATTGACTCCTGTCATCTCTATTCTGTTGAGCCCTTTATGATTTTTTGGGTAAACCTTGTTATTATAGTGTTTTTAGTTCTAAAATTTTCATTTGGTTTTTTTTTTTTTTTTACATCATTTACTTTCCTGTGGGAAAATTTGACATTTCCACTCAGTTCTGCAAGGCCTTACTTTTTGACACATTGTGGCAATAGTCTAGTGTAGGAGTAACTTACGTGGTGCTGCACAGTAGGACTACAGTTGCCTCCACTACTTGTATATTTCAATGGCTAGTAGAGAGGATTCTGAATGTCCAAACACAAAGAAATGATACACATCTGAGACAGATAATGCCAACTACCGACCATCAACCATCCTATGTGTTGAAATGTCACACTGTACCCTAGAGATACATACAATTACTATGTGACAATTAAAAAAATTTTTTTAAGTCCTCATAATTCCAACATGCATCATCTTGGGGTTGGTGTCTGTTTTTCCTAGCCAATTGTTGAAATTTTCCTGACATATGTTTTATGTAATTCTGCATTTCATCCTGGATATTTTGAAAATTATGAGAATTTGAATTTTAATTCTGGAAAATGTCGATTTTTTTTTTCCAAACAAGCAATTTACCTGATTAGTTTGGGTAACTTTTATATTCATCACTTTATCCAATCACTTTTTGCCATGACTTTTATTAAAATTTAAACATACAGCTCCAATCCACATCCTGGGGGCTGTGGTTGTAATGTCTGCTATCTGGGTCTATCTCACATGGCCAGTGTCAGACCTGAGCAATGGGTCAGTGCTGGTAGGTTCCCTCTATACAAGTACGGATCACAGCTGAGTCCAGGATTACAAGGACTTTGAGAGGTCACTTTCTCAAGCTTCCTTTTCTCTGTCACCACCTGATACCTCCCTCTGTCATGAGCCTGTTCATCTTCTTGACCTTCTAGTTAGGAGTTCAAGGTGTGAGGTCCTCCCACACCTTGGGGTTGCACCCTGTGGATGCAACCACCTCCAGGACCAAGTAGCAGGAAGGTGGTGAAGAAGTAAAGCAGTGGGGACTCCCAGTTGCCTATAGTTCCTCTGACCATAGATGAGGTCCCCTCTCAAAGGGGACCTTACTACAGGGGATTTTATCAGTGGGTCTTACTTCAAATTCAGATTTCCTTCCCAAATTGACCTGCTGTCACTACTTCTCAGGGTCCCCAGAGAGCTGCTCCATGCACTAGTTTATATCCAGTGGGAGACAAGGTGGAGCGTGCTGACTCCACTTACAGTGGACTCAGTACCACCCCAAGGTTACCTATTTCCACTGATTACATGTTCCTGGAGAATACACTCTCAAACTAGAACTCAGTGAGAATCTGCTGGGAAAACTGTGACTGGAACTTTCATATTCATCACTTTATCCGATCACTCTTTGCCATGATTTTTATTAAAATTTAAACATAGAAAAGCTTAAAGTGTAACCAACGGACATCTTTGTACACCACAAAGATTCAATAACAATTAATTAATGTTTTACATATTTGGAAATATCCTACAGAAATCGTGACTTTTCAAACTTAAAAGCTTCGGCATGCATCTCCTAATGAGAACATTATCCTGTATAACCTCAAAACACTGTTACTTCTAAGAAAATCAAACATACCACATCGTCTAATACCCATTCTACCTTCGTGTTTCCCCAACTATCCCCCAAATGTCTTTTCAAGTTGTTTTATTTTTTCTCAGTCAGAACCCAATAAAGGACTATCCTTTGCATTCGGTTGTCTCTTGAGGATCTTAGAAAAGTCCACTTTTTTGTCTTCATATGTTGGCTTTTTGAAGTCTTGGTCAGTTAGTTGTCTTGTATGATGTTCCAAACTCAGCATTTGTCTGTTACTGTGTAATTATACTTGTTGCTCTTGTCCTTATAAACAGGAAGGTAAGTCTCGAGAAAAGATTTACATAGATCTTCATGGGACATTCTGGTAACCTATCAAAAATGATTTAGCATGCTTTGTATTGCATCTCTTCAGAAGCCACACGATGTCAGCTTTTCACACAAGCAATGAAACTGTTTGTTAGCCAGATCTCATTATAAAAGCAAAGCTTTCTGTTGTAATTGGGATCTGTGATTTTTTATTTTTAAAGTCAGGATCTTGCTATGTAGTCTAGGTTGGCCTGGAACTTGTTATGTAGCCCAGGCAGACCTTAAACTTGTGATCCTCCTGCTTCTACCTCCCAAGTGATGGGATTATAGGCATGTACCACACTGCCCAACTGGGTATCTGTGATCTTTTTACATCACGTAAACCATATTCCTCAATTTCTGTCACCTAGTGGGTTTTACCATCCATTGCTTTTTGCCAGATTTAATTACATTAATGGTAGTAAAATGGTGATTTTTCTAAATCTAAATCTAATCTTCATAGATTTGAAAGGTGGCTTTTCTTCAAATGATTTATAAAGAGTTTATTTTGTCTATTGTCATCATTTTGAGCTTTCTTCTTCTTAGTGTACTTCACCCAATTCCAGTGATTAATCCTTCTGATACTTAAATTGTCTTAAATTACCCAGTGGGAAGACTTTAAAGTTGGTTCCGTGTCCTTCTGATATTACTCCAATAATTCTTGAATGCTATCTCATTTTTTTAATAAAAAGATAGTACAGGTATACCTTATATTTCCCTTGCTCCAAATACGAAATCAGCCATTTCTCCAAGGAGCCCTGGTTCCTCTCAGTGGGGAATGCATTCAGAAACCAAAATTCGGGTATAAGCATGCTGTCACTGGGTACAATAGCTAAGTACTGAGGTCTGTTTAAAAGCCTATTTTCTTATAAATATACCTAAATACATAAGATAAGCCTTCCTGATGAGATAACCAAGTCAATTCAGAGGTACAGTATGCTGAATGTCTGAGTTTGTTTTAATTTTTAAACCTCTCAGACAGAAGGGTCTAGCAAATAGTTTTTTAAATGATACCAACTGTCAAAGTCAAATACAGACCTGAAGCAAATAAGCATGGAGGGGGGCAATGTTAAAGTGATAACTAGGCTGTTTAATAGTAAAATATTCATATATAACTGTACACATAAGAATTCCTAAAAGATGTGTAATAAAAGAGCATCCTTGTATGGGAAGCACCCCAAACAGCACCACCATCTGAACCTCTGCTGGTTTAAAGGATTTAAGTACAACTTTTATAAAGGCAGGTACAATCAGAGACTCATAAGAAAAAAGAGTATGATTTTAAGACAATTATTAAGATTAAAGTGAGGGGGAACCCTCCAAGGTAAAAATGCCTAACCAGGTTATAAAACAAATAGTGTTCTTGGAACTTGAGGATGGAAATGAACCAGTTGCCGACCTCGATTCTAGACCTAGAATCTTCTTCCTGAATTTAAATCCACTGGTAAAATGAAGGGCTATAATTAAAATTGCTACTGACTGTAATGAGTTACAGGTGTATAGTCAAAAGCTCTGCCAAACATCTACCTTCTGCAAAGAAAGCAGAGTATTTGCATGGCAGTCTTTGCACCTGCTTCAGCTTACCCCACCTTCTACAGTACTATAAGACAACGCTATTCAGCTACACAGAACCGTTTCATCGTAAGAAATGATATTGGACAGCAAAAGGAAAAGTCTCCCTTTGGTCAAAATTTTAGATTTTAAAAACTAAATGCTAACTTAGTAAAACTATTTGTTAATCATCAAAGTCTTGAAAAAAATACTCCAAACTCTGTGCATATGTAAGCACACACATATGCACACACAAATATGCATGTATACGTGCATATGTGTATACAGTTCTGTGCCATGTAACAATGTTTTGGTCAGTCATGGACCACATATGTGACAGAGCTCTCATAGATTATGATGGAACTGAAAATCCTGTTGCCTAGTGACATCACAGCTATTGTGACATTGTAGCCACCATAACATCTTAGCACAACACATCCATTTGTGGTGCTGCCAGCCAGATAAAAGTGTAGCACATACAGTTATGCACAGTACATAATACATGATAATGAACAGCTATGTTGCTAATTTATGTATTTACTATAATTTTTATCATTTAAAACTCATAGTACATACCTTCTACGAACAAAAAAATTTACTACAAAACAGTACGCTGTGTTGCGCCAGCAGTAGGCACATCCAATTTGTGTTTACTGTGTCCCTTGATCACATCAGGTGGTCACCTAGGGCTGTGCAAGGCCACTGTGATGTTCTTAAAACGATGAAACTGCCTGACGACACCTTTTTCAAAACGTATCCTCACGGTTAAGTTACACGTGACTGTATATACATAAAAGTTATATAACTAAAACTTGTAGGGCAACTCAGGAAAAGCTTCATTGTGTCCCTGTCAAGGGTTAAATTCCTGTCTATCTTTAGCTTCTCTTTGTGAAAGGAGAGCTTCCTATGTCAGCCGTCACTTTAGTATTCCCATTTAACTCAGTGATTATCTTTAAAAGAAAATTAACATATTGAAGCTTATTCTTAGAGCTGATAGTCTAATGAGAGAAAGAAAACTTACATTCAACTATTATTCATGCTTTTCTTTAAAAAAAGTAAAACCTTTTACACTTTTTCTATGAATTTAAAAATGAAAGGCTTTTGGAAATCTTAGAATGTAATGGTCCTTATAAAGTTGACAAGTCAGGGTTGTTTATATTTTCACAGATCAGTCACCCATGCTCAGTGGCTTTTTGCTGCAGGAGAAGTAAAGACTAAATGTATTGGGAGTGTACGCCCTCTACTGTTCTCATTATCGTTCAATGAGAAGTCTTGAACGATTAGAGAGGTGAATCAAAAGTCACAGGCTTCTCTCCTCTCAGAAATCTATGATACGGAGTAAGGGGAGGGCTGTAGAGAAAAGGTGCCCCATATTGCTTCCACTTATAGAGTCTTTCTTTAGTGTGCACTTTCTTGTGTCTACAAAGGTTTGACCTGTAGCTGTAGGCTTTCCCACATTCCATACACTTGTAGAGTTTCTCTCCAGTGTGGATCCGCTCGTGTTCCGTTAGGAATGAGTACTGGCTGAACGCCTTTCCACACTGACTACACCGGTAGGGCTTCTCTCCAGTGTGGATTCTCTGATGCCTATACAGGTTAGATTTGCAACCAAAGGCCTTCCCACATTCTTCACAGGTATAGAGTTTCTCCCCGGTGTGAATTTTCCGGTGTTCATTAAAGGATGAATACTGGTTGAAGGTCTTCCCACACTCAGCACATTGGTGGGGTTTCTGTCCAGTGTGAATTCGCTGGTGCTCGATCAGGGTGGAGATGCGAGTGAAAGTTCTCCCACATTCCAAGCACTGACACAGCTGTTCTCCTGTATGGAGCCTCTGATGCTCAGCCAGTGATGGAAACTGGCTGTAGCCCTTTCCACACTCACCACATTTATAGGGCTTCTCGCCCGTGTGGATTCTTTGATGCCTGTGGAGCTTTGCTCTGCAGTTGAAGGCTTTCTCACACTCGCTGCATTTATAGAGCTTTTCTCCAGTGTGGATTCTCTGGTGCACAGTGAGGGTTGAGCACTGGCTAAAGGCTTTCCCACACTCCCGGCAGCGGTAGGGCTTCTCACCCGTGTGCACTCGCAGGTGTTTGATGAGGGTGGAGCTGCTGCTGAAGGCTTTCTCACACTCACTGCATTTGTAGGGCTTCTCTCCAGTGTGGATTCTCTGATGGGCGAGGAGGGATGACCTATGGCTGAAGGCTTTCCCACACTCACCACACTTGTAGGGTTCTCCCCAGTATGAATCCTCTGGTGTTCGAGAAGATGAAGACTCTGGCTGAAACTCTTCCCACATTCATTACAGACATGAGGTTTTGCTCCTGAGTAAATCTGGAAGCATCTCATTAGATTAAAATTCTGTGTAAAATCTTTCCCCAAAGTATAATACATGTTGGGTATCCTTTCTACGGGAACACTGTGCTGTGAAACAAACATGGTATTTATGAGTGAGGCTTTCCCCAGTGCATCATTTGTGGGGCTCCCATCTCTGCTCACAGTCTGCTCGGGTGAGGCTGCCATTTTCCCAAGGGGCTTCTGTTCTTGCTTCTGTACTATCCTGCTCTCAGTTTTCACAGCTTTTCCAAAGTTGATGTCATAGTGACCATACTTAGTAGATTCTTTCTTTATTATCTCAGGAGACATTTCTTTGGCAAAAATGTCCTGTCTAGGAGGCAATGCATGTATCTCAGACCAACTGTTGAAATCTGAAATGAATCAGAAAAATTAATGCTTCCTCTGGTAAAAGAGAGAAATGGATGCATCAAAAGGACAATAAAATTGGTGACAGCACCTACAAAAGAGGTTTTGATACCATGTGATCTCAAATGGGGACTTGAATCTGGGGGATAATGGAAAGAGAGGGAAGCAAGTTAAGGAGGGTGTGGAGAACATGCTGGATAAATTAACACTGAATATAAAGTGACTGCAGCCTGGGAGACAGGACAGGCTGAGGAGACAGTTTGAGGATGCAGAACAATGTCAGGTGATAAGCTGGAGCTGAATAACATGGAATTCTTCAGTTTCTCATCACTTCCCACTCTGCATACGCTTAGCAATAAGCAGGTAGTTTCCCTTCACTTCCTCCTTCCTTCCTATTCTGTGTTCTTTCTGAAACCTCATATTCAATAATTTAAAAATATTTGGATTGTTTTTCTTAAAATTGTGGTATCATATATGATTGTAATTTCATACTATACATACTCTGTGAAAGGGGAAACAGTCAGGTTAAAAGAGGTTATTTGGATTTAAAATACTACAACATGGGCTGGGGGTGTGGCTTGAGTGGTAGCATGCCTGCCTAGCAAGCATAAGGCCCTGAGTTCGAATCACATCCTCTAAAGTAAAAATTACATGACTGACAATATTTGATCTATTTTGGAGATGCTGATTATAAAGAAGAAAAGTATGGGGTAAATCAGACATTGCAACAATCTAACCCCTGTGACTGGAGGAGTAATAATTGTTCATACTACTCTTCCATCACGTTCCCCTTTCTATGTGATCATAAAGAAAAATTACATACTTGTTTCTTCTAATAAGCTGCAACCAGAACACTGCACTCTCTTCATGGGGATCTTTTGAGAATAAGGAAAATCTGTGAGCTGTATGATATCAATGTGTCCCGAGATCTGCCATGTGCCCAGCCCGAGCTCAGCTCCCACCATAGGTGAAAAGCTGGAGCTTGAGCTGATTCTACAGTGTTCTGGGTTATACCTGGGCTTTCCTCCCTCAATCCTCAATCTAAAACAGATTAGTATTGCATCATGAAATTAAATAATTGTACATAAATAAACCCTCCAGTTTAAATAAAACACAACTGGCCCTGAGCATCTCAACAGGACCTAGTATTTCCAGGCTGTAGCCTCTTTATGACTTGACATCTCTGGCTGCCTGTGTGCCCATTCCCCAGGCGCTTACTCACCCAGACAGTCTGGAGGGTATCCTCTTCTCGCCATGCAGGGATCTTCTCCTTGCTGCAACTGGCAAATCAGCTCAGGTGTTGAAACTGAAATCCCTGCTCACGAGGAAGGAGAGTCTGAACGAATGACATGAAGGAGCAGTCCTAGCCAGAGCTCACACCCACACACCTGCACCTTGCAGCAGAGAAGCTAGCCCTGGGAGGTGGGGCAGGGAGCTTCCAGGCAGTGGAACAAGAAGCAGGGCTTAATTCAAAATATAAGGCCCTGGCAAGGAATGCCTTTAAAACAGGGTGTTCCTACATTTTTTTCTACATCTCCATGTCCTGCAGGTTTTTCAGAATCTACCCTGGGTTCTAGTCATTGGCCTCCTGCATGGAGGAAACTGATTGGGAGTGGGGTGTGAGGAAGTAGGGAAGGAGAAAAGAAAAGCCTAGAGGACATGGCAGTGAAAACATACTTCCATTTCTCGAGATTCAACTTCTCCCAGCCGCTTGATAGGGCAGACAACTGTAGGCTCTGGACCCCAAAGAGGGAGCTCTGAGATGCTCACGAGAGGAAAGACCCTTACCCAGTAAAACCAGGTTGCTGTAGTTCTCTATCATCACCTCCCGGTACAGGCTTCTCTGGGCAGAGTCCAGATGCGACCACTCGTCCTTGCTGAAGAGCACAGCCACATCCCAGAATGTCACAGACTCCTGTAAGAACAAACCCGCTGTTCACCAGGCCCACCTTCTTCAGTGGAAGACTCGGCAAGAAGGTGACGCTGGTTGCACAGCAAGTGATTTTGAAAACATCTCAGAATTCTAAATATTTTAAGTCAGTAATTTGTGTTAATTTTTTTTAAACACCTGTTAACTAATTAAACAAGTATTTATTGAGGACCCACTGGGATCAAAGACATATGCCACATACTGTGGAGGGAAAAGGAAAAGAGGCAAAGTCCCTGCTAACGGGATTAAAATTCCACCCTGGGATCTTTCAGTGACTAAGCATGTCCTCCTCCACTCAAAATCCAAACTAAATGAAAGGCCCAGGCAACCAGAAGAAATAATAATAAAACCAGTAGAAAAAAACCATAAGAAAAAATAATAAAAATCAGAATACACTTAGAGAAATGGTGGCAAGTCAAGAAAAATATCTACAGCAAAACAGAAACATAAAAGGATTTCTGAGACACAAAATAATAAAATACTATTAGTGTTTCTTGACCATGTTAAGAACTACAATAGGAACTGTGTATACACTGTCTCCATAAGCCCTATCAAAATGCTATGGGGAAGATCCTATAGTAGAAAAAACAGGTCTAGAAAGATGAAGTACAAAGTGGTGGGCAGACACACCTCTCTGTCATGTGGGTTTCCACTGACTATGAAAAAAAACAAAAATGATTTGCAAGACCACACAGGAGCAAGACAGAACCATGGAGAACATAATTTATTCCAAGAGAACCTCAGCCCCCAAATGTGAGAAAGCATGGGAGAGAAATGCTCGTATGAAGGAACTGAAGGAGTAAAAGCTGGTACACAGCTTTTGGTGGGTATTTTGCTAAGAATCTATCACAAGGTAAAAGGTACATCACTTTGACCTTGGCTGCTACTTCTAGGACTCTGTCATAAGAATAATCACACAAGTGAGCAGGGACATTTGCTCAAGCATATTTACTGCAACATTATTTAAATGTTACATGTATAACAAAGGAGACTTGGAAGATCTGTTTTACAATAAGGATCTTGAGAACCCTGACCTGTTGCACTCACAATGGTCCTCATGAGGACACAGGAAGAGTCAGACATAAGCAGAGACTTTGAAGATGGATGGAAAGGCCACAAGCCAAGCACTGCAGGTAACCACTAGAGGATGAAAAGGTCAAAAAACTATGATTCTCCCCTTAGAGTCACAGAAGGAAACAGCCCTGCTGACGGCCTCACCATAAGCCATGAAGGGGATATCAACTTCCACAATTGTAAAAAATAAATTTACATTGCTCTAAGCCACTGGATTTATGGTAAATTGTTTCAGCAGCAATAGAAAACCAATACAGTGGTGAAAGACTGAAGATAAGGGAAAGGATAAGCAAATTACATCTCATTTATTCCATGAAATGCTATACACCCATAAAGTAGAATGAAGTAAATTTATATTCTGGTACTCACAAAACATCCAAGTGAACACAAGCCGTCCCTTGATTATTCTTCGATACTTGCGGAGGCGGCAGAAAAGCAATCTTTCACTTACTTCTTTATACCCTTCATGTGTGTGTGCGCGTGTGCGCGCGTGTGTGGGTGAGTGTGCATGTGTGTGTGTTCCTTTCTTTTGAATCCTTTTATTTTTTTCGCAGTGTTGGGGATGGAACCCAGGGCCTACAAATATTAAGCGTGCATACTACCACTGAGCTACACCCTCAGCCCTTGAATTTTTTTTCCGATTCCATCTTAATTTATATATTAACTTTTCAGTTATACCTCTTTGCATTTTTAGTGATTGCTCTGAAGATTGCAACATACGTTCTTTGTTATTCTTTGTCTATTTAGAGCAAATATATTATTTCACATAGAATACAAGAACCTTGCAAGCATACAGGACACCAGCACCAACTCTGGTTGCTATATTTTCCCAGTTCAGGGAGGTGAAAGGACTCACCACACTTCACCATGCATACTCTGGTAAGGTTTTTACTTAAAGGCAAAGGGTAGAATGCAGCAAGAGAAGGAGGGTGCAAAGGATCCTGGAAGTCCAAGAGACATTTCACTGTACCTCCTTTATTGGCACACAGGCTTTATTTCATTGTCTCTGTATCTGTATGCAGAATCTTTCAAAGGAGGAACTCTCTACAATCAAGCAAGACTTGTGAAATCATCACCCCTTATCTTGTTTTGACCAAACATTAAAAAAACAAAAAACAGACATCCAAGTACCCCCAGAGATAGAGAAGACAGGGCTTTTCCAAATGTAGAAACAGCTTTTCCAGCCCAGATGCAAATGGATTTTATCTCCACCATTGTCATAGACATGGTGTTCACCTACATTACAAGCCCACAATACAATATTATAATTTTGCTTTAAATAATTACATGTATCTTTAAAAAGTGGACAGAAAACAGTATTTTATATTCATCAAGTACCTTCCATTTCTAATCAGAGTCCCCATCTGGCACAGTTTTCTTTTAGCTTCAAAAACATCCTTTATTATATCTTGTCATGCTGGCCTGCTGATTATAAATTAGCTGAATTTTCTTTTGTCTGAGAATGTCTTTGTTTCACCTTCGTTCTTAAAGAGAATTTTCTTTGGATTTAGACTTCTGGGCTGATGGCTTCTTTCTTTCAGCACGTAACATGTCATCTTCTTCTTCTCTGGTCTTTGTTTTTCTGAGGAGTCAATGGTCATTCAAATACTGATTCTCTCCATGTAGTATAATCTATTTTTGATCTACTTTCAAATTTTTTTATGATTTGTCTATGGCTTTTCTGCCCAATATGGCAGACACCAACCGTAAGTGGCTGCTGAGCACATGAACTGTGGCTATTCTGAACTAAGATGTGCTGTATGTATAAAATACACACTGGATGAATTACTAAAATTCATGTATGTTTAGTTAATACACACATACATTTACATACATACACACACAAATATATACTCACTATCTCAAAAATTTAATACTGACTGCAGGTGAAAAATCTTAATATTTGGACATTCTAGGTTAAATAAACCATATTATTAAAGTTCATTTACTTGCTTCTGTTTACATTTCCAATGTGATTACCAGAAATTTTTTAATTAGATATGTGGGTTTCACTCATGGTTCACATTCTAGTTCTAGCATACAGCACTGGTCAGTAGCAGGTAATGTCACATACAAACCCATAGCTTAAATAAGCTTCCATTAAATAACTGCTTCCGTTCTTGATGGCTATTAAGATGGCTGCTGTTTTTGGTTGTCACACACATACACACAGGTATCTCTGGTTACATGCATACTTATATTTAAACTATTGAGTCAAAGTCTTTATGCATTTAAATTCTGACAGGTGTGGTAGGCTGTACTTTCTCAAGATGACACCACCAATTTATCTCTCACCTCACATGCTCTTTCTACAAGGTGACATTGATACTTCTTCAACCCAGAAGGGAGTTTATACTTCCCCCATGTGAACCTGTGAAGAGGTAAGTGCAGATCCAGTGAGTTTAGTAGAAACGATGCTCTGTGGCTTCTGAGGGGAGGTAATAAAATAGACTTCCCACCTGGCTCACAGAAGTCACCAATGACGCCTAGCCAGCAGGTCATGTGCCCAAGATGCACGGAGGCATCACACGCTCCATCCAACAGCCTAGCGAGGGTCTATACCAAGGCATGTGAGTGACTGACACTTTGAGATGATTCTAGACTCTAGACTTCAAGCCTTTCAGACCCCAGACTGTACAGTCAAGATAAGCTGTTCTCTGCCAGGTCTACATTCCTGGCCCAGAGAAACTGAGAAGTTACAAATGATTATTGCTGTTTTACACCCCTTAGTCTCTTGCTAATATATCACGTATACCTTTTCATTTAAAATTACTGTGAAATTAGAACACCAGAAGAGAGAATGGAACAAAAGAAATATCTGAAGTAATAATGGCTGAGAATTTCCCAAATTAATGACATACACCAAACTAAAAATCAAGGAAGGTCAGAAAATGTCAATCAGAATAAATACCAAAAAAAAAAAAAAAGAAGACAGAAAAAAAATCCCGCCGATAGAGGTAAAAGGGTAAGACTTACAGTGGATTTTTTGCTTTAGAAACTATGCAGTTAAAAAAGACAGTGATGTGAAATATCTAATGCACTGACAGAAAAGAATCACCAACCTAGAATTCTCTATCCAGTGAAACTACCTTTCAAAATGGATGAGAAATAAAGACTCTCCAATAAACAAAACCTGAGAGAATCCATTACCAGCAGACCTATCTGATAGAAAATGGTAAAAAGAAGTTCTTTGAGGAGAAGGAAAATACTGTAGATCAGAAACTGGAATAGACATACAGAGAGGAGGAATAAGAGAGAAGGAACAAATGAAGACAACATATTGTGTTCTTGTCCTTTCACTGATTTAAAAGATAAATGCTTGCTTAGACTAGTAACAGCAGCAGTGTACTGGGTGATTACAGCATATGGAAAAGTGAAATGAATGAGAGCAATATCGGAAGGAAGGGAAGGATAGAACTCGGAATATGGTTAGGAGGCACCTGTACTATCCACGAGACAGAAGAGTTTTCTTTGAAGGTGAACATAGACTAGTTGTAAATTTATATTGCAAACGTCACGGCAACCAATAAAAAAATTTAACCAGCCTAATTGATATGTACAGACAGTAGGAAGATCTGTGTTTGCTATACTAACACAACTAAATGATTGAATAAATAAGTAAATAAATAAATAAATGGAAAGGTGGCAATCCTCCCTGCAGATTTCCAAATAATTTCTATGGACTCGCCATTCCTTAAGTGTGGGCTACACACAGTCACTTCCTTCTAAAGATTATGCTGTGGGAAGGAGAAATGAGAGTATTCTGACAAACGTCACCTCTGCCAGGTCCTGAAGGTAAGTAACATCAACGGTGGTAAAAGTCATGTTCTTAGTATGCAATTTTGACATGATTTAAAGAAAATGGCACTTTACCTTTGCCGTTTTCTTCCCCCAAACCCAGACTAGTAACAAGAAAAACATCACACAAATTACAATAGAGGACATTCTACAAAATCCAAACCACAACTTCTCAAAACTATAATGGCCATAAAAAGCAAACAAAGTCTGAGAAACTGAGTGCCAGGAGGGGTCTAAGGAGACACGATAGCTAAATGCAATGTAGGTTCCCAGGTGGGATCTGGAACAGAAAAAGGGTATTAGGTTAGGAAAAAAAAAAAATCGCTACAGAAATGTGGATAAAGTGAGTGCTGTAGCTAATGAGCCATCAGTATCATGTGTCATTGTACCACGTGTACCATAAGATAGTACTAGGAAAAATGGGTGCAGGGTACGGAAACTAAGCTACCACCTTTGCAACCTTTCTCTAAAACTGTTCTAAAAAAGCTTTTTTAAATAGTGACAATACCAAAAATAGGTGCCAAATTACTGCAGAAAAAAAGATGTAATTAAATTGTACCTACTAAGCAATCAGCACCACGTTCCACATGCCTTTTCTCCAGATGAGAAACTATACATTATATGGAAAGAGATGTGATATTTATAAAATTTGCAAATATTTTCCCCCAAAATTATGCTATTTGCTACTTAATTTTTCTAACAGTAGAGAGATACATGCCCCACAGGACAATGAATGAGTACAGAACTTGACATTGGATATGACTACTGCACTGGCTCAACTAGAGTATTAAGATCAGTGATTGGGTCACCCTGGGTCCCCAGGACACTTAATCATACAGGATATTGAATCAGCTTCCACAAAAACTGGCTCTGAGCTAAAAATAAACTCTTCAACATCTTCCCTTTGCTAAAATGAAGTTAAGTCTGTCCTGCTTGGGGGTGGGAAAGCTCAGTGAAGTGTCCTACCTTTGGGAAGCGGGCAGCCTAGATCACAGCAGGACAATGCTTTGCACTGCATTTTGCTGGTCTTTATATCTTCTTTTCCTAAAATGCTCTCCTCCTTACAATTAAAGAGTCAAAGTAAAGCCTAGCCCAATGAGGAAAGGCACACCAAATCTGGCTGGCCCTAAAACAATGTGGCAGCTGCTGCTGATACCAGGAATAGGCACAGTTAGCATTCCTGAGATGTGAACGTGTAGCACGCACTGTTCTCAGGCTTTTAATTGTACTTCCTCAGACCATAACAGTATCAGTCTGAACTGTCTTGTCTAGATTCAAACCAGCTGTGTGACCTTGATGGAGTTACCTGCTTCTCTGTGCTTCAGTTTTGTCATCTGTAAAACGCAGATATTAACAGTCTTCCCGGAAGAATTAAATGAGTTAATTGATGAAAAGAATAAATATTTTTGCACACAGTAATACACAGTACCTGGCACAGCAATTACATTTGTGATTACTACTGTAATTAACACTTAGACCAATTCTAAGATGGATGGTAATTAACCCTACTTAAATTGAGGAAATGAGGTGTAAAGATAGTATCACTTGCCCACAGTCAATCCCTAGCTTGGATCTGAGCCCAGGAAGTTAAATTTAAGGACTGGATGTATGGCTCAAGCAGTAGAGCACCTGCTTTGCAAGTACAAAGCTCTGAGTTCTGCCAAAATAATAATAATAATAATAATAATAATAATAATAGTAATAATTAAAGTCAAATTTAAGCCCACATTTTAAACTCATGGGCTACCACTACTTTTTGGAAAAGTAGCCAATGAAAAGCAGAAGCTTTGGGGTGTGTCAGAATAGAAGAGCCACAGAAGGGAGGCAAGCAGGAAAGGGAGCTGATGTTGCGGGAAGGATGGGACTTCCCTGTGGAATATTTAATAAGGACTTGGGAAAACAGACTGGAACTGTAGGGTAGGCCTGAAGACAGAGATTTGGGGGAGATTCTCAGAAGGGTGGTAGCTAAAAGTGATGAGAACGATCTCAAAAGGTGAAAGAGCCAAATACACAAACCAGCCAGAAGGGTAGTTTGAAGTAGCAAGCAGGGAAAAAAATCAAGGAAACAAATGAAGAGATACAACATCAATTAGACAGCTAAGAGGGAAACTGGAAAGTTTAACATCACAGTTGCCTCGCTAGGCAGAGGAAGACCAGGCCTCTGTACTCCCCAGAGCCACGCTCAAAGCCCAAGCCAATTTGAACTCCTTCTCTAACCACCAGTTTGATCCCTGGCCTTCACTCCAATGACACCCCACTTCTAGAATGTTTTGCTGAATCTTTCTGGATATTTAACCATGTTTCCTAAGATCATTACCATAAACTCCCTGAAGACAAGAATAACAACTTCCTCTTTGTGTCCCCAGTGTGTTGCCCAGTATCATGTAAACAGTTGGTGCTCGGTAAATGTCTGTGGTAGTATCTTTTGGATGCTCCATGTCTTTGCCCCAAGTATGACTACTTCCTCTATCAAGACAAACACTGTCTAATACCTCACGCTCCTCACCAAACACCTAGTGAAGCAGGAGGCATACATTCAGAGCTGACTCAAACTTTGGCTGCAAAGTGAGTTTGAGGTGAATGAAGAGTCAGTGAGGGACAAAGAGGCACACTGCACAGCTCCCCCATAAGCCCAAGTTCCTCAGGGAAACTTTTGAGGCTCTAGTTTCTCCAAAGTTTTTGTTGGATAAAAAAGTACCTGGACAAAGAATGAAAACATGTTCCACATCTCTAAACCCAGACAATAATTCATACAAGACAAGCTTCACTTACTGATACTTGAGTGGGCAGCAAATCCACAGCCATTCTTTCTTTCTTACTGTTTCTTGTCAAAGGAGAGCAGTATGCTGATATGAAAGGTCTGGAAAGGAAAAAGGTGTTGTGAGGAACTCTGGTATCAAGGGATGGCTCAGAGACAGGAAGTTGGAACCACCCATAATGGCTGTCAGATTCCATGAAAGCCATAAATGATGCAAACCAGACAGAAGAATGTTGAGCAGGCCAATTTGCCCATCTCCATCCCTTCTGTGTATTAACTATACTACTAATTTCTGTACATTGATGCTTTAACTAACAGCCTATTAACTACCTCTACCCTAAGGCCACTTTCAAACACAACAAGTTGATCCTGAGCTTAACTCACCCTGCTTCACCCTTTCCTTCCTATGGAAGCCACACTAAAGATACTTGCTCATTTCTCCCTTCTCTCTCTGCATATGGCAGAAGCAGTGCCTTCTCCGAGTGGGCCTCTGGGGAGCACCATGTTTTCCCTAAGAACAGTGAGCATTTCCAGCCTCGCTCTTGGTCTATATGGAGCCTTCATACCTCCCAAGGTAATATGATTAAGACACAACCCCCAAGAAACACCAGATTGTTGTTCAGATGCCCTTCCAAAATACTCACCCCACAGATGCTATCTTTTAGCACCCATAGTCCAAAATAGGCACCTTCTCCTTACACATGTACCCCAGTTGGAAGGGTGGGAACCTTGTCTAGCCCACAGAGAGCAAAATCAGAGGGTGAGTGGGGCAGTCTGAGCAGTGTCAGCACCCTGGGCTAACACTGCCTGAGTCTGCAGCGGGCTCCTCCGGGTACCGCCCCTGGCATGAGAGCACAACACAAGGATTATCCTAAGAGTCTCCAGCAGGTACACCTCAGCCGGCCAGACAGAAGCAATCATGGCTATTCTACCGTGCACATTGTACAGCAAGAATATTCAGTACTGTTCAGAAGTTACTTTTAATCTTCTCAACAACTTTAAAAAGTAAATACATGCACAGTTCCACCCATTATCACAGATCAAAAATATTGGAAAAAAATTGTGTCCATCCTGAAGACGTTTATCTTGTCATTATTCCCCAAACAATACAGAATAACAACTGTTTACACTGCACTGACATTGTATTAAGTATTACAAGTCATCTAAGATGATTTAAAACATGGGAGGATGTGTGCAGGTTCTATGCAAACACCCCGCCACTTTATATAAGGAACTTGACCTGGCGGGTTTGGGTGTCCTGGAACCAATACAGAGGGAAGCCTGCATCGCTATCACATTTTACAGAGTTGGGGAGACTGACAGCTATGGAGTCAGGTCCTGCCCAAGATCACAAAAAATAGTAAGTAGCCCAGACAGGAAGCTTCCAATCCAAGGCTCCAAATTCCACCTAATTTTCAGGCTGCTCCATGCCTCAGTTTCTTCACCACTATCCTGGGAACAATGGAGGACCGACCTAACTGCAATTGGGCATTAAATGAGTTATTCATTTAATTAGAGGAGACTCGTGCCCGCCCACGGCCCTTCTCTGTAGCTGTTAGCTATTGTTGTTTTAGGGATTTCTGTTCCGCTAAGAAGCCACAAAGGAAGGACCGGCACTCACCCCTGCACTCCCGGGCACACCCTGCTCACCTGCAGGGATGCTGATGGCCCTGCCTGCGAGTGTCCCGGTGACGACTGGGGTGGGGGTTGCGGGGACGCGCGGTGGGGCCAAGTCACCAGGCCCTGCACGACTGGCGCTCCAACCCCGCGCCCGCGCCCGCGCCGCGCGGCGCCAGGCCAGTCCGCGACGCCCACCGGCCCTGCCGAGGCCCCACACCTCAGCGACTCACACGGAAAGAGGCTCTGGCATCCACCGCGGCTCAGAAGAGGCAGCCAGGAGAGTCTCGGCCCCAGGCGTGTCGTCCTGGTGCAGGCAGATACCTTCCCCAAGAACCCCCAGGAAAGGCCGCGAGCTGCCCCGCGCTTACCAAGGAGAACTACGACTCCCGGCATGCCTCGCGCCCGTGCCGATTACACTTTCCAGAGGGCACCGCGGCGAGGCGACTTCCGGGAGCTCCAGCGCTTTGCCAGCCTCGTGGCCCCACAGTGCGAAGGAAGCGCCTGTGGCCACTCAGGCGGGGCTCCATCCAGTGACAGCGATGGCGCCCGAGTCTATTCACAGACTTGTCTTGTTAGACACGCAAAACGATGTCACGAAACGAGACCTGAATTTATATGTCTTTAGGAGGATCCGTGTGGTGTGCAGTGGCTCCCACCACTGTCATCATTATTTACATTGTGTACAAGACACAAAAGTACCATGCACTGGTACTTCCTTGAATTGGTTTAAGAACTTCCTTAATTATTTGATAGTTACAGCATATAAATACGTCCCTAAGCCATAATTATTTACATTTGCCAAACTTTTGATCTTCATATAAACAAAATCCGATCTATAAAGTTGTCCTTCAGTATCCATAGGTTCCTGTACCTGTGAAGTCATCCAAAATCAAAAACACTTGGGAAAAAAGTTTCATGAAATTCCAAAAAGCCAAACTTGAATTTGCTGCCTACACTAGGTCCGTGTGAATGAAGTGATGTGGAATCATTGCATTAGGTATGTAATATGTAATCTAGAGATGATTTAAAGTTCACAGGAAGATAAACAGTTCATATGCAAATACTATGCCATTTTATGTCAGGGACTTGAGTACCCATGGACTCTGGTATGGGAGGGGGGAGCATTCTGAAGCCAGCCCCCCATAGTTACAGAGAGACAACTGGATATGTTCTTCTGTGACTTATATGTTCAATATGAACACTTAGGTTTGTTTTTATATCATTAATTTTTCACTTGTATAAGATTCCATTATTTATTCATTCATTCATTCAACAACAACAAAAGAAAATACACTGAACACCGGTCTTGGGCCTGACATTTTTCTAGATGTTAGAAATATATAAGCAAGCAACTTGTAAAACCTTCTATACATACGTGGTTTCAATTCTACTGGGGAGAAAGGAAAAAGATAATAAACAAGAAGAATAAATATGTTTTGAAATAGTGATGTATGCTAAGACAGAGGGGAACAGGAACTCGGAGAAGGAAGGTTTTACAATGTTATAAAGTATGGGTAAGAACCACTTCCCAAAGAAGGTGACATTTGAAGAAAGAACTGTAAAAGATGAAACTTGGGCCAAGTTATGGCTCTTCTGGAAGGCTTGCTGGCAGAATGAAAAGTGATTCAAAGGCTCTGAGATGGGAGCAGGTCTGGCCTTTTCAAGAAACAATAAGAATACTATTGGTGAGCTGGGGGTGTGGCTCAAGCAATAGAGTACTGCCTAGCAAGCAGGAGGCTCTGAGTTCAAATTCCAGTACCACCAAAATAAATATTTGACTTAAAAACATGCTGTTGAGGATGTAAAAGGAAAAGGAGAGAAGAGATCAGAGGTAAGAGGGCCAGAACATAGGGCTTCTGTTGGACTTCATGTCACCAGATTTTACTCTGAGATAAGAAGGCTCTGAACAGTGAAGAGTGACAAAGACGCCTTGACAAAACTATAGTCAGACCCTTTCAGCCGTCTCTTTGTGTGTGTGTTACTGGAGACCTGGTTCCCTGACCTCAATGCCAATTTACAAGTAACAAGGGTTTTGAGGAAAAGGAAATAAGGTTTTTATTGATCAGATGAAGATGAGGACAGGGAGACTGAACCTCTCAAAGCCTATCATCCTGCTTTTGAGAGAAAATGTCTGCTTTTAAAGGACATTTCAGGGACTCAGTTTGAGTACATAACAAAATGCATGCCCCACAATAGGTGTTGGCCTTGATTCTGCTGGTTTGCTGGCTCCACTTCTGTGAAGCTGTGCATCTTGGCTGACAGGGTTACAACTTGTTGGTGATCATAGAGAGATAAGGAGAATAAGACAGCCTAGTTTAATTGGAGAATAAAGAATTTTAGTCAGTGGCTTCTGCCTGTAAGCCTTGATACTCGGGAAGCAGAAATCAGGAGGATCATAGTTCATGGCTAGCCCTAGCAAGCAAGACCTTGTCTCAAAAATACCCAACACAAAAAAGGGATGGTGGAGTGCCTCAAGTGATAGGGCACCTGCCTAGCAAGTGTGAGGCCCTGAGTTCAAGTCCCAGTACTGCCAAAAAAGTTTTAACTTTGGTTTCTCAACATATATATAAATGTCAGTTTGAATAACAAACACAGCAACCAAGATGGCTACACCAAAAGGTTTTCTCTTTTGTGCTACCAGTTAAAATTTTCCCACTGTCCATTTGTTCCTTCCGTTTCTGTAGGAAAGGCATCATAATCATCCTGCTTCCTGCCTTTTGTTAATTCTTGGGCCCAAGTAAGGAGTCAGTGCTCCTCAACAAAAGCAGCTTTAAAGCATGTATTCCACCTGTATGGTCCTGGGAATGGAACCCAGTGTATTGTGCTTGCAGTGCTCTACCACTTGTGCTATACCCCTAACCTTTTTGTTTTTATTTATTTATTTATTGAGATAGGGTCTTGCTAACTTTGTCTGGGCTGGCCTCAAACTCACAACCCTACTGCTTCCACCTCCCAGGTAGCTGGGATGACAGTTAACTACCACACCTGGCTTCGTTCTTCTCTTTGACTAGGCCTCATTCTTGGCCTCATTCCTGTCTTTGGTCTGCCTAGCCCAGTTTTTGTAAATACTGATTTGTCAGCTTAATAAGAATCCCCCTACCCTTGATATCTGACAGAGTTCCTCATCCTGCATCTTTGATGAATAAACAACAACATTCTCAGTTTAACAAGACTCCCCTTGCCCTTGATGTTGTTGGGTCCGGGAGATCAGAAGACAAAAATGAGCCAGTGCCCCCATCCCCCATGAGAGCACTGTGAACCCTACATCCTGTAAAGGGACATGCAGTTTCACAAGTTATGGCCCCCTAGGGATGCCTCAAAATGCCACAAGGCTGATAAGCAGGAGGCTTTTGCCAAACTGTGTATATGTTCCTGCAGAGCTATGTTAAGAGACCACTCCACTCCCGACTCCTGCACCTCCCCTCCCCAACAGAGTGTGTTCCTACAAAGGTATGTCAAAAGGCCACTCCACCCCTGACTCCTAACTCCCCTCCCAACTCCTAAGTCCCCTCCCCAACAAAAAGGACCAAAAGAAAAACCCTCTATGTAAGCAACAGTGAGCCACCGGTTTCTGGGCTCCACTGCACTGCTCTAGCTGGAGCCTTTCCTTCCTCTCTAACAAATCTTACCTGTGTGCTGACCTTCTCATCTCAAGAGTCAGTTGCTGCCTCACTGGCCAGTTCTTTAGCTAGTGAAGGCAAGGACCTTTGCCACGGGTGCAACAATGTCTCCACGATGTAGTAATTTTCCATCTACTTACCCCCCCCCCATTCTCTTCCTTGCCTTGTATTTGTTGCTGAACCAAATCTCTCTCCTCTACTCTAGGGCCCTATTCTACTAGCCTTTGAATAAAGTCTTCATTACAGTTTTACCAAGTATAAGAATAAATCTTTCTCTAACAAGAAGTAACAAAGTTTTCCTTAACAAGAAGCAACTTCCAATTTTAAGTGATCCTTTGTGTCTGCCATGCTGAGAATAAACTAAAGGGTCAAAGGAAAAGCAGAAAGACTAGGACTAGTTAGGCTATTGTGGTAATCTCTGGGTGAGAAGACAGAAGTTGACTGTGCTAGGATAGAAGTGATGGTTGTTCCCGACCTCCCTTTCTGAGATGACTCACTTCCATCTTTGAAAGTGCCTTTTCTAGTCTAATAAACTATACTTTTTACTACTCTGCTTCGCATCTTGCCTGAAATCTTCTCTCACGAGATGCAAGAATCAAGATAGCTGTGCTGCAGACAGAGAAATGGAAATCAGCAGAGTGCTGATTTATTGCAAAGCTGTAAAAATTCTGTAGGGAATTTCTGTTCATAGTTGAGAAAGACCAGGGGCTATGTGCGTGATTAGATAAGAAAACAATGTGTATGTAAAATAAAAATTTCTTAAAATGACAGTTTAATAACCTCTTGACACACAGCTTGAGTCTCTACATACAATGTAATTATTTGGTTATTCCAGGTGTCTGTAGCCAAAGACCAAAGGTGACCAAAAATTGACATTCCTAGGCAACAGCTTGAGATGTGCCTAAATCCTATTCCCTTAGTGGCCTCCTGGCTCCATTCTGAAAAACTCTTTCAGTGTGGGTTTATTTTCACACACCTTAGAGCCACATCAACTGGACACCCATTTAGTAACAAAGGATTATAGCTGAAAGAACTCAAGCCCCAGGCCTTATTATTCTTGCTGGTTCTGGGGTTGAACTCATGGCCCTGTGCTTGCTAAGTAGGCACTCCAGCCCTTTCTGCATTTTTTTTTTTTTGAGCTAGGATCTTGCTTTATGCCCAAGCAGCCTGGAACCTCAATCCTCCTATTTGTGCTTCACAGAGTAGCTGACATGATAGACATGAGCCACCATGCCTGGCCATGGGTTGAGATGGGGTCACAAGAACTTTTTGCCTGGGACTGGCCTTGAACTGTAATCCTACTGATCAACGCCTCCTGAGTAGCTAGGATTCCAGGCTTGAACCACCAGAACCAGGCCTTTAGGCCTTATTTAATTCTCTAAAGAAACCCTACGATAACAGGGAGATAAAAACAAAGACACTAGATTTTTTCACCTCTGACACTACAGATAAACAGTAAATACAGCCTAACTTCTAGCCAGAAAAACATAAAACCTCACACTAAAGGACTGTTTACCTTAGCGTTTTTAACAAAACAGTGTTTTGACTATTAGAATGTATGTAGGGAATGAGGAAATGCCAAAGCTTCTTTCCTTCCAAGGGGCAGAATCATAAAACCCTACTGATCTACACCTAAACCAAGAATAAACATAGTGACTCACAGCTGGAAAGATGATTGAGCTAAGGGCCCTGTATCCTCCCTATAGAGCCCACTCCTCCTGTCCAAGTTAAACCAGGAAAAGAGGATCCAGTGTACTGGTGTGTGCCTTCCCATACCTAGGCTCCCATCCACAGCCACTGAAACATCAAGGAAGACACTCAGTTTCAGGCCATTCGGTAACCCGACCCTGTTGGACGGAACCCCAATCCCTGGCAACTTCCACACATTTGGCTCTCATCCAACAGCCTGCCTCACCCCTTTGGCGTGTACTGTCCCTGTTCAGGTACATTTGGTTTTATCTAACCATCCACCTCATCTCTTGAGGTACCATGCCTGTTTAGGTGGGTGGGCTTATCCAATTTGCCTGCCTCATGCCTTGAGGTACACTTACTCTTTGCTAATAAATCACTTTACCATCCTATTATTCCTGGTTCTTTTGTGTCACTTGGAGTGGCATCCTAATCTTAAGACACTGTATACAAGGACTGAGAAGACATCTGGACAGCCCAAATCACTGCTAACACAATGGAGGGGTAGTCAGCTGGGCCAAATGCTGCTTGTGAGAGCAGGAGGAGCAGCACCAGGAGGAGGAGGTGTAAGGATGATTGCAGGCTTCTCCAACTTCAGGATGCATTCTCATCAGAATCTAGAGCCTGAGTTTTACCATTGCTTCCAAGTACCTAACAGTGAAAGTAGAAGTGGAGTATCAGGTTTATCAACACTGATATTGTCAGTGTTCTTGGCAAGACTGGTTTTGATGAAATGGTCAGGGTAAAACCTAACTGGAAAAGGTTCAAGAGAGAATGAAGGGGGGGAATGTGGGGCAGTGGGAATAGACTCTTTCAAGAGGATCATTATCAAAGAGGATCTTGATAACTCTGAAATGGGCTGCATCTGGAGGGGAAGGTGGGTTCAACATTTGTTTTTAGTGGGACCAGGGTTTGAACTCAGGACTTCAAGTTTGCAAAGCAAGTGCTCTACCACTTGACACACACCTCCAGTCCATTTTTGCTCTGATTATGTTGGAGATGGGAGTCTCGAAAACTGTTTCCCCAGAGTTGGCCTCAAGCTACCATCCTCTCAAATCTCAGCCTCCTAGTAGCTAAGATTACAGGCATGAGCCACTCACACCTGGTTGAAATTTGTTTATTTTTAAGAGGAGAGTAATGACAGTATGTTTGTATACTAATGGAATAATTCAGAAAGGAAGGGGAAATGAAGATGTACCACAGAGTGGGAAGAATTGCTGCAACAAGGCCCGTGAGTAGGTGAGAGGAGCTGGGATCGAGGTCATGAGGGGTGAGATTGGCTATACATAGGAGGAAGTACAGTTCATGCATATCAACAGGAGATTAAACTGGGATCATGGACACAGATTTAGTCAGGTGAGTGAAGGGGAAAGCTTGTCAATGTACTTTTCTGGTGGATTTTTTATTCTCACCTGTTTCATCCCTCTGAACCCTCAATTCAAGGTGGCCCCAAAAGCAGCAGAAGGGATTTTTTTTTCCCACAAGGGAGTGCCCCAAACTGTCCAGAGATAGGAAAGGTTGAGATTCCAAAAACAAAGTACTTAAATGCCCAAGTAATCAATCCAAAGCATTTATTAGGGGAATCAACTTACAGAGTGCTGCAGCTTCTCCTCTCTGTGGACAGTCAGAGAAAAGCGACGCTCTCCCTGCTCTGCAGCAAAGATGTCAGGCTATGGAGTGTACATTATGAGGGTTTAAGGAATTCGGGTTTAAGAAACTGAGGCCAGTTTCTTGCAGCTGTTTTGGGCAACAACCTACACCCCATTATCAGTGCCTGGCATTGTTCAAGACCCAGGCTCAGGCTCAATCCTGTTAGAGAAAAACTACAGCAGGCTGAGTCAGAGGGGTTTGTGATTTTTCATCAGGACACAGAAAGTGAGTGGAACTCTGGGACCCTATCAAAGTCAGGGAAAAAGGAAAATGATCAGGATGAGGTATTACATAGATGTTATCAACCTTGGCAGCACTTTGGAAACAGCTGGAGAGCTTTTGAACATTCAAATACATGTTATTATTTTTGTTTTGTTTTTGACAATACTGGGGTTTGAACTCAGGGCTTCACACTTGCTAGACAGGTTCTTTACCACTTCAGCCATTTCACCAGCTCTTTTTTGTGTTGAGTATTTTTGAGATAGGGTCTCAAGAACTATTTTCCCAGGTTGCCCCCGAATTGCAATCCTCCTGTTGTCTGCCTCCCAAGCTAGGATTACAGGGGTAAGCCACTGGCACCCAGCTCATGCTTATTCTTATCCCACAGTAAATGATTTAACTCAGCCTGCAGTGTAGACTGTGATTCAGAGACATAGGACCTTCTTTCCAAGTGTGGTCCTTGATCTGGCACCATCAGCATTACCTGTGAGCATAACAGAAATATACACACTTAGGTCCCAGCTGAGATCTACTGAGTCAGATGCTGCACTTTAACTCAATCCTCAGGTCATTTGTGTACAGATTAGAATTTACGTATCACTCAGGTTTACAAGTATGTAAGCACAAGTGGAGTGGCAATTTCAAGCTTATTAGATAGGAGATTTTTCAATGGAGCACGTCCTTGACAACACTTAATGTTGTTATACTTTTTAGTTTTTCACAATCTAGTGGTAATATAATTATATTTTATTGTGTTATAATTTGCATTTTCTGATTATCAATGTAAGTGTGAGCATTTTTTTCCCAAAATTTCATTTGTGTTTCTCCTTGTGTTAAATGCCCAGATGTCTTTAGCCAATTTTTTAATCTGGTTGTTATCTGATATATTCTGGATACTAATTCTTTTCTGTTTCAGAAGCAAGTATCTTCTCACATTTTGTAGCTTTTATTTTAAACATCTTTGTACATTTTAAAGAAAATTTAAATATTATTGTTTAATAAGTTCAGCAATCTTTTAATTTTTGAATTTTAGTTTCTGAGCCTTAAGAAATATTTCTCCATGCCGACTTCATAAAAAGTATTTTTCCAGTGGGGTTGTGGTGCCCTCAAGAGGCTAAGACAGAGGATTGCAAGTTTAAGGCTAACCCAGGCTATATAGGGAGGTCTGTCTCAAAAAAAAAGTATTTCCCCAGTATTGTTTTTTGCTAAAATTGTACCTTTCCTAGTGGTACACACCTGTAATCCCAGCTACTGAGGAGGCAGAGATTGGAAGGATCATGGTTCAAGGCCAGACTAGGCAAAAAAGTGAGACCCTATCCAAAAAACAACTAAAGCAAAAAAAGGATAGGGGAGTGACTCAAGTAGTAGAGTTTCTGCCCAGAAAGTACAAGGCTGAATTCAAACTCCTGTGCTCTTCCCATTTCTTTTAAGCATAGGAAATTATTTTAATTTTCAAAAACTTGCAACATTTTGTTCTTTATTTAGCAAATCTACATTTATAGTTCAACTATTGTATTCCAGCCAATAGAACACGTAAGGGGTTTTCTGCTCCAGTATATATCTGGAATGCTTCCCACTAGATTTAAATGAGTATCTGGTCAATAAAATTATGATTTACTACCACTTTTGGTCTAGATGGAGAAACAAGGACCAGATTTACCCTCCTATCTGAAGCAACTGGAAATATATGAAATAATGACACTGAAGATGGTGGACCTTCCCCAACAACACTCAAGATGGTGGACAGTGATCCCTGAGAAACAGGAAGCTGAGGAGTTGGGTCCTATGGTTGGATTACTGTCTGGAGCAAGTTTCCAGATGGCAGTTCATGTAGGAAGAACACATGCAGTCTGCTGGACTTCCTGCGTTATCCAGATGAAGCTGGAAGTCCAGGAGATTCAAGGCAGCTTGAGCTCACAGAGCAGAGGGCCAGAGAGAAGCCAGCTAGCTGCAGAGAGAGGGAACCTGGGGGTATACAGAGAGCACTCCCCAGTA